AGAACACAGATGTACACTGATGCTGTTGGTGGTTGCCAGTTTACTCCTGCATGAAGGGAGAGCTGGACACAGCTAGTTCACCCGTGTTACGAGCTAACGGTGCTATAATTCAGGCCTGGCCATATTTAGGCAGGTCTCTGTGCTGTGTAAACAGAGCTTAGTGCTGAGGGGAGGGCTCACTCCTGCACTCGTGTCCATCTACAGAGCTTGCAAATAGCTCCGTTGAGAAGGGTTATGAAGAATCTTAAGCTGTAAAAGTAAAAGTTGATCTGGAGAATTTAGAGACACCAACAAGTGTCTCTGAGTATGCAGGGCCTCATTACAAGGCGTACTTGAGAGATATTTAATTCCCTTGAAAAATGCTGCTGCTTTGAGATGGACAAACAACCTGTCAGGACTGCGAGGGTAGGAGACCAGTGTTTGTGTTGAACTCTTAAACAGCAGCATGAGTGAGACGCTCTCAAAAAGCCCTGGGGAAGCTGGATCCTTTCCTCTCAGCAGCTCTCAGCCCATCAGGCTGAAACCGCAGTCAACGTCCAGATCGCCCTGTGGATCCCCGAGGTTGTCCCCCTGCAACTCCCCTCGAAACTCCCCCCGGCACTCTCCTCTGCTGTTCAGGAAGCTCCTCGTGAACCGCAGCATCGCCCTGCAGCGGCGCTTCTCCTTGGCACACACACCCAGGTAGTATTAATGATGAGAAGCCTTTGGTGTGGATATTACATGATCAGAATGTACTACAGAAGTTGTGGTACATACTGTAGTGTGCCTCAAGTGGTGAGTTGCGACCCAAAAGTGGGTGTTTTTTTTCAATAATTCTTTTTTTTTTTTTTTTTGAAAGTCAAACTTTTATTTTGAATGCCCGATTTTCTAACGCTGTGCATGCAGTAGGCGTTGGACTGGAAGTACCGGAGACCATAAAGGGTTTTGAAAACTTCTGTCACGTAGTGATCATATTCTCAATAAAACATCTTTGCTGATGTTTTTTCGAGTCTTCTGGCCAATCAGAATCAAGATTGTTGCCGGAAGTCCCCACGGAAAATAACTCTGCGCTAGAACTACTCTTTATACATCCATGGGTACAACTTCAGATAAAAATGAACACATAATGAAATATGACCCCCGGTTTGATGACGGTCACAGAACAATGGGGGCTATCTAGTATCTACCCTTACCCACAATTTAAAGTAAGTCACACAGACTATCTCCTCTTTGCTCTTCTCTCTGTGAGGAGCAGCAAGTTCAGCTGTCAGAACAAAGTGAAAAACAAACAATGGCATCAAATATTATTAATATGTCGGGTTGTAATAGATTTATTTATTTTCTTCTCAGAGTGTGAATGCGTAGTTTATATGTTAGTATTTCAACAGACCCCCCTTCTGGGGTTGGGTTTTCAGTGTGCTTTATTATATAGTTCAGCTTTGATTCCATCATCTCATTAAACCTTTTTTAAAAGCATACTTTAGTTATGTGAAGGGATATTAGGGATATATGAACTTTACTTCACTTTTATTACCGTAATATTGTATGCTGAAAAGCGTATATATTACAGCACGATTTTTTGTTGAATAGACTTGAGTGGTTAAAAATTTCGGGTCGCGATTTATTGACAAAAGAAAAACTGGGTCCCGGGGCCTGACCAGTTGAGAACCACTGGTGTACAGTAGATGATATGACTATGAATCAACCGATACAGCTTAAAATAAATCCCGAATTCAATACACAAGGATGCTAATTTCAGGATCGATTTCTTTCTGCTGGGCTGTGGTAAATCATGAATTGAAAGCAGAGATATGTCTGCTTAATACAATAATTGCATAATATTTGCTGATATTCTGTTTTTTTTAAGTGAAATCAACTATTTGCTATGTTTGGATATGTTAAGAATGAAAGATAACATATTTCACCCTATGCCCCCAACTCTTTTGAAAGGTTGCAAAAACAAACAATGTTTTCTAAAATGTTTTAAGTATTAGTAATCACTGACGCCAAGAATAAGTTCATTTTATACAAAAAATAAAAACCTCCTTGTTAGGTCAATCAAATGTTTACGCTGTATTTCTATTTTAAACTTGCTACATTTAAGAAATACATTCTATACATAATAACACAATAAGGCTTGTTTAGGATTACTGTCCATTAGTTGTGATATTTAGGTTCTTTATTGAATTAAAAAATATATTTTTTTAAGTGAATTAAAGGTGGATCGATTAAGAATCTTATAAATTTTTTCCCTACGATTGATAGATAAGACAAAGTGATTCTGAAGTTACCATTCAGAGGTTAATTCAGAGTCTGAACTTGAATAAACTCATTCATTTAGAAAGTGAAAGGTAAAGGGCATGTTTCAGTACTGAAGCTGCTTTTTCACGTCATCAAATGTTTGTCATGGGTTTGCTGGGGAGAAAAAAAAGGCCCATTGTCTGATGAGAAGGTAACTCTGGGAAATCATGATTTTGTTGACGTCGGGAACTGTGTTGTCTCAAAGGCCCTCATTGTTCTCGAAATGAAAGAGCAGTTCTTGTTCCTGCCTCAGGTGTTCAGCACTGCGTTCAGCAGACCTGGCATCAGTCTAAAAGCAGGGAGAAAAGATCCTATAGCCGGTGTGCTTGGCTCTGACCTGAGGTTTTGCCCGAGACACACAGCAGCATGTGGCTCTTTTACGTCAGAACAGACCTAGCAAATTCAATTTAGTAACAACATTGCTTGGATTTGTAATTCATTTCTTAAATGTTTACATGTTCTCTCTAGAACTGTATCGTGAGAGATTAAAGTCATTTCTGAACCAAACAGAACTTAAAGTTTAGATTTCAACATGTCATTTTCAGATTTTTAAAATAGAAATGACTGTGCGAGAAGAGCTGTGTTGGCGGCTAGTGACGTATGAAATTGATTTTCCATGAACACAACCATGACCCATAGGTCAGTTAAAAAAAATGAGATTAAGCTGCATGGAAGGAAATCCCCCTGCTGCCTAAAACCCTCCGTTTTCAGTCTTGCCCGAAGCACATTGTAAAAATAATGTTAGGGTGAGGAAAATACAAGTCACAAGTGTAAAGTGTTGTTTGTCAGCAACTGTTTGATTGAGATAATGTAGAAAATGATTTATCCAGCTTAACAGCTCTTCCTTTTTGTAAAACCAGCATGAGCTAAGTAATCTCTGCATGTAATTGTTGCACTTACAGGCAACTGTTTCATCTGAAGATGTCCTTAATACTGATAAATAACATTATTTCCCATATGTCAAAAATGCTTTCTCCATGAGGCTGAGGAGATCCTTTTAATAACTACTTTGTTTATTTTACTGTGGATAAATACTGTATATACTGTAGTAAGGATACATCTTCTCATTGTAAGTTTGATATACATAATTCTTAGTAAACCTTTGAAAACCCAGAGGTATATTGTTATGCAAGTATGATGTAGTACTGGTTAAGTGCATACAGCGTACCTCAGACATACACACCTTTGCTTCAGCTCATTATTCCTCATTCATCCAGTTATTGCTCGAGCACGCTCAACCAACACATTTCTTATTAAACTCTGATGAGAAAGGTTCCCCTGCTAATAAAACTCACTGCCAGTTTTTAGAGTAAAGCAATTAAAGTTGAGCCAAACCAAATTTCACCAGGTGTGTCAAAGATTAAAATCAACTCATTATTTTAAGACTGGCAATCTCCCTGGCAAGTAAAGAGCAATATATGAGGCTCACAGAGGAAAGGCTTCTAACGTTCACATCAGCATTCAGGCGGTAACCTGTAGTACCAACAAACATCTTTATGCCGTCTTAAATATTTATGTTTGCATATTATCAGATTATATAATTATCAATTAATTATTGTCATTTTCTAAAAGTAATTTAGGATGAAACTGAATGCTGCGTAACTTCAGTGCTGCAAAATATCTTTCTAAACACAACGTATGTATTAGATATAAGAACAAAACTGCAATTTTCAAATTATGAAATGACCACTCCCTAATCAGATTTAGTGCTGTTTGATTTTTGTCTGCCTTCGCAATTTTTTGACATTGTAATTGTTTATCACAATGATTGGTTGATAAATTATTTCATTGTGATATTATCCCATATAAATCCATATTTAATGATTGCCCTGCCGTAGTGTTAGGCTGTTATATTCCACTCATAGTTTGTCTATTCATCCTAGTTTTACCCTCAGTCTGTTGTTATTAGTATGAGGTACTTCACATTAATGCACCGACAACATGACAAACAAGTTATACCACATTTAGAATATAATCACGTATTTCTATAAACATCCTCTTTTTAGTTTGCAGTTTCACATAATGCTCAGGGAAGTGGTTGTGGCTGCTTTGACTGTCGCCTCATAACAAGTGTCCCTCTAAAACTGAATATTTTCTAATTATTGTTGTTAACCCACTTTAGTATTGTGATATAAAATATTATGATACTTTATCGATTTAAAAACATTTTATTGATTTTCTATTACACGCAAAGATTTTACACACACTCTTCAACTTCAAGGCTTTATTGTCCTTTGCACATTAGCTACAGGGTAGATACTGTATGGCAATGAAAAACTTAGATCATAGGCTCCTCTAACATTGCAACATATATATAGGACAGCACAAATAAAACAGATAAAATAGTGCAAGTAAATACAAATACAATAGAAATAAATAGAGCAAGAAGAGTCTATATACAAGTGCATTGAATATGATATATTAGATCACACACACACACACACACACACACACACACACACACACACACACACACACACACACACACACACACACACACACAGTCTCTTGCCCAGATCCAACACTAACAATATCCTCCTGTAATAATGCGGCTGCAGGGCATCAGAAGGAGGTGTCGGTCAGGTGGCCCGTTGGTCTCACATGTCAAGGCCCGCTCTGAAACACAAAAACAGCCGCCAGCCACGCTGTACAGTCAGATCTTCCTTTAATAAGTACGGACACACACAAGTGTTGCTTTCTAACTGTTGGAGCACGTTCAGTGTCTCAAAGCTCAGAAAGAGTCAACACTCAATGGTTTGTCTTAAAAATCTGGATACAAGATCAGCCTTTAACTTGACAGCGAAACTTTAACGTTGAGCCCTTTCACATTTATCTTGGATATCCTGTTCAACACGGACTCTGGGGGCGAGTTGGGCTGTCCTCAGGGGACTCTATATGCACTCTCACTGCCGGAGGAAGAAGTCAACCCTCGCTCGCTCTATCCTGCAGTATCATTTCAACCCTTCCCCTTTCCTGCAAACGGAGTGAGTGACTGACAGAAATAACAGAGCTGCTTTGAAAGTTTAAGACTTCTCTTCTGTACAATTCGGAGCTATGCTACTAAACACCCTTTCAGAAATCCAGTGAATGTCACGCGTGTGGCGTTAGATTGCGTATTTAGAACAACAACAAATCAGTAGGAGAGGAGAAACAACCGAGGAAAGTCTTCAGATACAACAGCTCCCTCTCTGCTTCTTCCTTCTGGAGAGACCAATTGGACATCACACTTCTGCCTTGTTGAGGCTTGCCTGGGACCTTAGTGGTACAACCCTGCAACATTCCTCAAAATGTTTCCTGAATCCAGAGGCTCTGAGGAGTAATGCAGATCTGGCCTCTATCGGACTGGGTTTTCTTTTCATTTCTCACCTGGAACCTCCCTGTGTTCGCAGTACAAAACCTCATGGAGTCAATCCAGAACCACCCGCCTGTTCATGGGAGAAAAAAAACAGACTGAGTTGTGAAGTTTCAGAATCCACAGGAGGCTCGGTTCAGATGTTCAGGTTATTTTCTTTACAGCCCAGAGTGTCTCTTATGAGCCAGGAGCTCACGGGACAATGAACAAAGACCTGGCACTGGCGAGGAAAGGGGCGCCGACTGTTTTCGGGCACAGTCGGAGACACTCGTGCTTGGGGTATGTTCATAAACTTTGCATCCTGTATCTCTTTCAGCGCTCATATTCACGAGAGGGATTGTTCATGCATGCTGCAGAGTACATCTGCTACGTTAGCTACAAATAGCTACAATTGACAAGGAGAACTGGCGTATTTTAGCTAATGGTAAGACATACACTTGTTCAAGTGAGTGAGATGATTAAATGTGGAAACACCTAGCGTAGGTTGCAACCCGTGCATACACTGCAATTCCCTAATAATAAGTAGTTATAGAAACTATAAACAAAATGTTGGTTCATGTGAAAAAACATTAACTTAATCAGATTCTGGCGTCAGTCTGCAGAATCTAAGAGCAGGTGATCTTGTCTAAAGTTGCCCCAGAAAACACACAGAGAGAGTTTTACTTTGGTTTTCCTTTTTGCTCCTGCACAACCTTCTGAGATATTTCATTGATGCTAGTGTTGTGTCATATGGATGGATGGTAGAGATGTTAATGACTTACAAACATTCACGTCATCAGACGGTTTTATAATTGCAGTGTTGGTCTGATGAGGTTCAAAATACTTTTTACAATTTGGGTTTAATTACCTTGAATGACGCACTTTGGCTGACACAAGCTGTTCAAGCTGGTTTGGTTTCCCAGTTGTTATTGCCAACTGGATTTTGACTTTATGCTTTTTAACAGACAAAACTGTATGCATTTTAACATTGCAGTAAATCATGCATTGTAGCTGAAATAATAAAGGCAAGTTGGTGTGAAATGGGTTCATCAATTTGCTAAGGAACTGAATTGTAAACATAACAGTAAACAGGACCTTTACTGTAGTTATAATTATTTTATAGATATTGCTATGATAAGTCTGTACAGTAGAAAGAGTGTGCTCATTCAGTGAGAAGTGTGTCTCTCAGCAACCTGAGCTTTGGGGCCAGTGTGTGAATTGGTGGTTTTTGAGCTGCTCTTTGTTTTTTTTCATGCTGGCATTTTACCCAACGTCTTTGAGAGGAAGTGAGTTTTGTTTGTGGCAAGTTTCATTCAACAGACTTCCTGTTTTTGCTAAAAAGTCTCCCAGAGACATTTTTCAGCACGATGACCCTGAGAAAAAGCTGCTGTCTGAACACAGAGTACTGAAGCCAGTGTTTGTGTTCAAGCTGTTTAAAAGCACATGCACATAAGCACATGCACATTTTTACAAGTGCTGTTCCTCAATTTGTGAATAATGCATTTTTCTCTGACAATGTGTGTACATGAGCGTGTGTTGTACATGGTCGTGAGTGTGTGAGCAGAGGGAGCATGTTGGTGGTGACTCATGTTACACTGACGACAAACGCGCCCGGCCTTCTGTGTGTTTATGGCAACCATTAAGCACATACATGTTCCCATTGCATGCATGTTTGAATGTTTTTCAATCTGTTTCAGTGTGCTTTCTTTGTGTCCTTGTGTGTGTACACGCTTTGTGTCCTCAGTACTGATACACACTAAACTGGGATTGATGGGCAGCATCTACAGTAGCTCTACACTGTGTTGCTGGGTCACTGGTTGCCCCTTCCCCCCCCACAGCACGACCACAAACAAAGGCCACACCTTCACCGTCACACACAGCAGGAACCATCGAGTTAAAGTAGAGGGCGGAACCATAACTTGTTTGGCCCATTTCCTTGACACAGACTTTACTCTGTGTGGCTAGTAGCACCTGTGGTTGTTGGTTTTATTAATTTAATTAACCTTTTGAAAAACACTAAGTCCTTTCTGCCACTTTCAATTGTGGAAAATCAATACCTACTGGGTTTTGACCAAAATCGATGAATTTGAAATGTCAAAGGCAAAGTCTTCTTGAGCATTCATGATGTAAGTGCCTCTCTATACCAATGATACTTTTGTTAAGGGATAGTGGATAGTAGATGCTAATTATCAATATTTCATTCAACATCTCTTTTCTGTAAATTGTGGTTGTTCAACACTAATCTTATTATTTTAGTACACTTCCTAAATCCTCTCCGTTATACCAAAGGCTGACATTTTATTCAAAGAATATCATATTAATTGCCAAGTTTCTTGAGAAAGAAAGGTTGTGTCATAGTTGTTGTCAAAGCAGATACAAGTTTTTTATGTCGTGAGTAAGTGAGAGCAACAGTAATGACCTGAACACAGGCCAAACTGTTTTGTGTTTCTTTAAGTGAGCAACGTTTGGGTTTCAAGGTAGCATTCAAAAGATGCTGCAGTGTGTGAAATGTAATTGTGTCATAATCTTGCAATTTGTGTGTGTGTGTGTGTGTGTGTGTGTGTGTGTGTGTGTGTGTGTGTGTGTGTGTGTGTGTGTGTGTGGGGAACAATAACACAACAGACCCCCAAAATAGGACCCCGAGCTTGTAATAGTTCCCCAGCACCGCCAGCCTGGCTGCCCATAACACGTGATTATGACATGTGTTTCTCGTTTGTTGTATACACACACAAAGACACACACACCCTGCAATAGTCACTCGTCCCAAAATCCATATTGATTGTTCCACCAGAGAATCGACTTTGAGGTCATGTTTCCAAATGAATGTAGGTGTTTTACTAGCAGTGGAAATAGGCTTTTGCCAGTTGTGCCTTGTGAGCAGAGTGTTTCTGTAAAGGCCAGTGTGTCTTTGTTTTACTCCTGTATGTGGATTTAATGTAGTTTCCTGGCACAGACTGACCTCTGCTGGATAGTCAGTCCATCTTCAGGAGACTGAATCAGCAGCACTCTGACTTTTTATATTGGCTCAACATTATCTGATGTTTGAGATAAAGCAGTTTACATAGGTGTGAACTCAGTGTGTGGGTGCTTGGTTAACGCTATCTAAACAAATAAAGATTGGCGTCAAAAAACAACCAAATGATGAGACACCACCCCTCTGAAGTGACATGGCCTGTTCTACTGCAGGTTGTGTGTTTTTTGGGAGGCGCCGGAGAAGCAGCATGACTTGAACCCTGCAGCAAGATATAAATATTATTAACAACTAAGAAACAACCACAAGTCACATTGCCATAAATCAGACAGTATTAGACCAGTGCACGAACAATCAGCACAAACCATAGAATAGCCAGATTCAGTTTGATCATTTCTGTTAACACTTTATTATTAATGTGAATCTGATAATCTCCTCCTGTAATCAGCTGAAACATTAACTATAGACTTCATGGTTGGAAGTCATTGGCACAATCCCAATGTCCACACTCAAAGACTTACAAGTCCGGGACGCTTTATGGTTACCACCCTTTAGAATTGTCAAGTGCATGGGGGCATGTTAAACCCTTTATGCACACTTTCCACAAATTCACATTTCTCCAGATTTTGCCCAAGAGAATTGGCCACAATTCAAAGCTTGGGGAGTTTATAACAAGCACATACAATTGAGAATGCAAAGATAGCTGTGTTACATTCACAGCTAGTTAATTCAACAATCATTTCTGTTTGCTTTATGATGCTGTTTTGAGCAAGCGATTTGATTATTTACCAATTACCATCTTACGTTAAATCCTCAGGTTTCAGGGCTTAAGGCCTTAGGGGAGACTTTGACATTAAGCCCCTACACATATCATCGTGTTATCTTCAATATGTCTCCACTAGATGGTGCACGTCTTTTTCTGCTTGGATTTTTACACATTCACTGAAATACAATACTACTGAACCTGTGAAGTGAGTTTTGCCAGGGCTTAAAGAAAGCCACCATCTGTCCAGTGTCTTCCAGGATACATTATTGTCTTTAATAGCTTTGAAACATGTATAGATTCACTGTAATCAAGAAAGACTGTAGACTTAGCATATATCACATTTTCACTAACAAGAAACTCTGAGTGTTATTAAAAACTTCTCCATTGTCCTGAAAAAGGGTCAAAGGCAGTGCTATCTGTCAAGTTTTATTGGTGATACAGTAAGATAAGCGAGGTTATAATGTGAATATGTTGTTAATTAGTCAGGGGAAATAAATAAAAAGTCTTACAGAGGGCATAGTCTTTCAGAAGGATGTGTGAACTTATCTGCCTACACTCAGAGCTTCCTGTTTTCAAAAAGAAGGTCTGTTATGCCTTTATGCCTGAAGTTTTTTGCCTCACTGCATTGTTTACGCTCACTGAAAAACTGCGACAGAATGCTTACTTTATCAGCACTGAATCTGTCTGTAAAGTTGTGCAATGCCGTATCTAAAGCATACAAACACTTATGCTAACCAGCCCTGGGCTGTCAAATAGTGAGCATCTCTTTAAAGTGAATTAATGAAAAACAAAATTTTCCTGTCAGTGTCTCTGCAGCTGTGAACTTTCATTAATCATAAGAAGACTGAGATTTAAATAAAAGGTTTATATCATGTTGGTACTGTTTTTCTAGTACACACTCACAAACATCACCGTGAACGCACATGGAAGACACTCCCCCCTGGCGGCTTATTCTCATTACAGACGTTATGTTGTCATAGGAGCCAGCAGCCAGCTGGACTGCAGAAGTCATTTGGCCGGAGGATTTGGTTACACAGCGGCCTCACAAACACCTCATTCTCAGCAAACCTCCACCCCGGCATCTGTTTTCAGCTCCAACATGTTCCTCCAGCACATTGCATAACGAGGGAAGAGAGCACTTGTGGGAGGGGTGCAAACATGGTAAATCCCTAAATGTCATATTGGAACTTACTGGATGAAATAAATAATAGTGAAAAAAAACGTTTTTCAAGAGATTATTGTCAGTCCGTGCCTTTTCTGTCTGTCTGTGTTCAGTCCTCTGAATAATTTAGCCATTATTCCATTGCGTGATTTTAAACTCAAGTCAGCACTTGATCCAGGAAAGTTTACAAGAAGCAATTCTGAAAGTGAGACTTGCATAAATCACATTTACATAGTGGAAGTGATGAGAAGGCATTTACTTCTGTAAGGATCTCCCAAAGTCAAAGTGTATTAGTATCAACTCTGAAAAACAGTACCTTTGAGTAATAATTTAGTTAGTAAAAAGTCACTTCATGTGATATTGTAGGGGCCCTGCTGATTCTGTCCTGGGTGTAGAAGAAG